GAAAAATATATGTTCAGATTTGAAATGCCTAGCTCCTTATCGAACCCGGTGGAAGTCTAGTAGCTTCTTCAAACTATCGCCAGTCATGAAAAGATCCGGTCAAATGACACGAGTTTAGATCTATGAACAAGGCACGAAATGGAAAAGAATCGGCGACAGGCCACATCAGGCCTACACTTCAGAGCCGACATCACTATGTCTGTCTCTTATACACATCTAGATGTGTATAAGAGACAGCGATACAACAAACTGGATGTTGCAGGCACGACATCTCAAACACAATAAAACGAACTGGATGTTGGAGGAACGATGTCACCAGCACAATTCAACGAACTCAAAGCTACCAATAATATCGATGCAAGGAGAAGGTAACGCAAATTTTTTCGTACAGTAATGTTTTTCATGCTAGAAAGTATTTGCGTAAGACTAAAGGCATTTATCTCTACATTACATCGATTCAGTTGCTGTTGTTCAGAAATCAAACATCGTGACGTTTTATGACGAAAGCTTTTAATCCAAATTAAATAATAGTGTAAGCTGTTCGCTCAGAGTTCCACAAGAATGAATCTCTCGTGCGTTACGATGTCGAACAAAGCAGTTGGCAGTAACAGCTTAACGTGGACAACATGTGTTGGTTAATCGTATATAACCCATATATATACTATATAAGTCGTGCATACTATACAAGCTCTAACTTCAGGTCTAACACACAAATGCGAGTGACGTATTTAGTTTCTATCAAGAAGGGTTCTGACGAAGATTTATTTCACTTGTCAGCCCTTAAGTTCAGAAATTAGGGCACGGCAGGGGTCGAATGATGGACCCTGCCGCGTTTTTACTTTCCGCGGCGGAGAATAAAAAACGATGAAGGTCGAGCCAGTATAGTGAGCTCGTCTCCGCCCGTTACACGTGCTACAAGACGGGTCACCCGTCACAAAAAACGATGAACGTGTACAATTAATCTGAGAGCTTAGTACATGCAGCGCACAGTCAACATCGTTCTAGTCCGATTCTTAATGCCGATCAGATATTAATTATAGTAATATCTTGGACCGGTAAACGGGGTTGTCACTAGCAAGAAATAAGCCATTCTTGCATACGCGAAAGCATCAAAGCCAGCAAACAGGTTTCCTCCCTTAACTGCACTGCTGTAATTAAATAATATTTAAGTGTTACTGAGTACGAGTTTGTTCGGCGTCCTCACGGCAGACTGCCGTGTCGCGTGCCCCAGAATCAAGAGGAAGAGCTCCGTGAAGGGCGCGACTTATGAAACATTCAGACGGCATGGAACATTTCGGCCGCGACAGAAAGGTCAACGCAGACGAGCAGACGGATACGAATACACTTCTGCTGCAATCCTGTACTCAAGATACACTTACGGTACACTCACAGTACATTGATGCTACACTCACGGTACACTGATTGCACACTCATGGTACACTGATGGCACACTTACGGTACACTGATGCTACACAATTGTTATGTACAAGCTCACTCCCGAAACTGTTCTGATAGTCCACTGCGAAAACACATCGTTCCTGCATGCACGGTCCTGACAGGGGCACATCACTTCACATGCAAAACAAGAACAAGCGCAACAAAAACAAGCGCATAACGCCACACAGGCCTTGAGGTGAATCACTAATGAAAGTCTCTTATAAACTAACCAAAATTGTCGTTTTAAGTTGCGACGCAGTAATTTTAGCCCGAAAATGCATGCCCATCGAACTTATTACATAACCAGAGAATTTCCTCCATGATGAAAGAGATGTAATATTACTTAGCTGTACCACACTGCACCACCACAAGCTGTACCACCACACTTAGCTGTACCACACTTCCTTACCAGCGACTGGTAACGGTGATGAAGCACTGATATTACCGAGAGCGACCGAGGTAGAAACAAAGAGCAACAGTGTTGCTCAGTCCCGCGTGCACTGCAGCAGCATATATGCAAGGCACAGCAAACTTACAAGTATATAAAACCTAAGATGCAAGCAGCCAAGTTAGGCAGCACCTCTTATAACAGCAGAGCGGCACGCACCAGCTTTGGCAAACTCGAGGAAAGTTTGTACGTGTGAGAGGTCAGCAGCTTAGGCCTCAGCCTTGTCTCCCACTCCAAACTTTGTGAGCCTAACAAAATTACAGCAGCTATCAGCAACTGCACTATTGGAGAGGCTGGAAAAGTG